ACTATTTGGTCGAGCACAGCGTTGACATTGCGGAGCAGTTGTCATCCAATGATGCGGCAGGGCCCTTAGCTAATGAAACCAACCTGGCGATTAAGGCCGCAGTTGGTTTAAAAGCGTTTGGAGAGCTGACGGGATTGAACGAATACTCACGAATTGGCTATGAGCGAGCATCGCTGTTTTTCGCTCAAGGTCTTGGAACCGATGAACGCAAAACGCATTTTGTGCTTCAATATCCCGAAAACCAAGATTCATGGAAGATCCCATACAATCTATACCCCGACGTATTATTAAACTTGCAAACATTCCCAAATGCTGCATACCAGATGGGCAATTCCTTTTTTAAGACGGTGCGAGCCGAATATGGAGTCCCTCTGGATCACCGGCAGGACTGGGCCAAATCAGATTGGAACATGTGGCTAGCTGGCACGCTTGACACAAACACCCGGAACGAGTTTGTCGATGACCTGTGGGCATTCATGACCAATGGAGAACACAACTGGCCCTTTTCTGATCGATACGTTGCCACATCAGCCAAGGGCCAGCATCCCGGCCTTCCCATCCTTTGTCGCGCTCGACCCACAGTCGGTGGCCATTTTGCGCTGATGGCGCTGGAAGGTCCCAAGTCACTTCATAATGACGTGATCCACTCATTGAAGTCCATAAAAAACATGAAAACAGAGCAGGAATTGACCGAGCAGCACGGAGAAGACCTTTGAAGCCATGGTGTAGCGTCTTTCGGGGAATTTCTCCGGGAATAAGTATCGGTTAGGTATGAGGTCTAGCTCAAGATGTGCGAATAAAATATTAAAAATCGAATATAATGTAATAAGAAGAGAAGACAACTGGACAGAGTCTCTACCCTGTAATCTATTGTTAGAGCTCCGCCGTGCCAATCACTGGGTTGCATGTTATGTCAAGCTACATACATGGATCGGGTCGCGGTGAAGAGGATCCATGATGTCTCCCAACACGTGGTTGCGCCTTTCCAGCCAGGCACCAGCGTCTTCAAGGCCCTTCGATCTGGGAATTGACCTTCAAGAAGCTGCCGGACACCTGGCAAACCAGCAATTGACTCTCCAGAAGGAAAAATCCGTCCCTTGCTTTTTTGTTTCTTGTGTTGCTCGCTGGTTGCCCCTGGTGCTTACATAAGCCGCGCTGACTGGCCGACTTGTTTCTCTCTCTCGCTCGTCTCGTTCTCTCTTCCTCTCTTTCGCTGCATCCAAACCGCCGCTTGTTTAGCTTCTTGCTCCATTTCTTCCTTTCTTCTTCTCTTCTTTTCCCGCTTCCTTGTCCTTTTGATTTTACCCTCCCGACCTTCCTTTGTCCTCTTCCCCGGTTTCATCTCCATCGTCGACCTCACTTCCTCTTGTCTTCCCCCCCGGTTGAAATAGATCATAACTCATGGCTTCCGTATGTCTCCTCGTCCTCCCCCCCCCCCTCGTCACTCTTTTCCCTCAAGCTATCGGGCCAACGTCATGGTCACCTCAGCCACGCGTTTTGCCACCCCTCCGCACGCGCCAGGAGAGGACTCGTTTTGCTAATGCTTCGTCGATGCCCGTCCTCTAGCCCCGTCCTCCGCACAGCTTCGGTCCCCAAGGCTATTCTCTCCCCAACGGTGCCACTGGTCCTGTTCCCGGGGCCGCCCCTCTTCTTCCGAACAACGGTCGAATCATCCAAAACGGCCCTGTCAGAGTCCTCTGCATTGCCGATGTTCGAGGTAGGTTTCCTGGCGCACGTTCAACGCAGACGTCACGGCGGGCGGATAGATGTGGCTGACAATGTTGCTTTTTTCCCTTTTTTGTGTTACGCAGGGAACTTGAGATCTTTGAATGAGTTGGCCAAGCAGGCCCGTGCCGACCACATTATCCACACCGGTGACTTTGGCTTTTATGATAACACCTCGCTGGAGCGAATTGCAGACAAGTGAGTGATGCAATTGTTTTGGAGTTTTTGTGTCCCCCCCCCCAATACTTATATACCTTTGGCTCCATGGGAGTGTGCTTCTCGTTTTTTCTTTTTTTTTTCTTCTCTTCTCTTTATATTACTGTGAGTGAATTGGGTATGCTAATGAGCGGAACTTGTAAACAATAGAACTCTTAAGCATGTGGCCCAATACTCTCCGTTGCTTCCTGAAAATGTGAAGCGGACCATTGCTCAGACCCCCCCTCAGCAGTCGATTAAACAGCGATTCACCCCTGACCAGCTACCCCTCTCAGAACTTCCCATGTTGCTCGATAGGCGGATTACTCTCGATGTTCCTGTTTACACCGTCTGGGGTGCTTGCGAAGACGTTCGGGTATTGGAGAAGTTCCGCTCCGGTGAATACAAGGTGGACAAGCTGCACATAATTGACGAGGCCAATTCGCGATTGCTGGATGTTGGCGGTGTCAAGCTGCGTCTGCTGGGATTGGGAGGTGCCGTGGTGATGCACAAGCTGTTTGACAACGGTGAGGGCAAGACCACCATCGCCGGTGGACAAGGTACCATGTGGACGACTTTGCTCCAAATGGGCGAGCTGATAGATACCGCGAACCGTGTGTATGACCCGTCGGAAACCCGCATTTTCGTCACACATGCATCACCCGCCCGGGAGGGAATGCTAAACCAACTTTCCGTGACCCTCAAGGCCGACTTCTCGATCTCTGCCGGTCTGCACTTCCGCTACGGTTCGTCCTACAACGAATTCTCCGTGAACCCTTCTCTCGACCATTACCGCGGCAAGCTGGCTGCCTCGAAGGCATCTTTCAATGACGTCTGGGAGACGGTTCGGGGTGAGGTCGAGTCCGCTATTTCCTCCAACGAGGCCCAGAAGACTTTGTTGGACAACGCTCTCAACGTGGTGAACCAGATGCCCACCATCGCCAACGGTGGAAATCCCTTTGGCGGGCCCGCTGGGCCAGGCAACGCCGCCGGCCAAGTTGATGAGAGTGCCTTCAAGAACATGTGGAACTTCAACCTGGCTGATGCCGCATTTGGTTTCTTGGTTCTTGAGGTTGAGGCTGGCCGCATCGCCACGGAGATGCGCGCCCAGGGATTCAACTTTGCGCACCGGACCGGAAAGCCCCAGGTTGCTGGAGGGCCCGGTGGTCAAGCTGGCGCCCCCGTGCCTGCCGGACCGCCCGCTGGCGTGACCTCCCCGGCCACTCGTGCGACCGGACCGGCTGCACCCCAGTTCAACCAGGCTCCGCCCGTCACTGTCCGCCCCGGAGCTCCCGCCCAACCCCAGGCGCCCGCCAAGGGTCCGACCGCTGCTCCCGCTCGTACTTCTCCGGCCCCCGTGATCCCCAAGCCCGCTACTCCCCAGCCCGCTGGCACCGGTGCTCAGTCCCAGGCGCCCGCTCCTGCCTCGCCCGAGAAAACCTCGGTTTCGGAGGCCAATGGCAGTGCGCAGCCTGAGAAACCCTCCGAGTCTCCTCTGCCCAAGCCCGAGAAGAAGCAGAGCAACGGACTGTTCGTTTCGAACGTGGACAATGAGCAGGCGGTGCGCGATCTCTTCCCCGAGGAAGACAAGTCGAAGATGGTCAAGGTCGAGAAATGGGGCAAGTTCAACCACGTCGTGATGTTCACAACCGTCGAAGAGGCCAAGGCCGCTCTCGACCGCCAGCCCGTCGAGCACAAGAAGCCCTCGCCTCCTGGCCAGCCTCGCAAGCCCAACATCAAGTTCTTCGAAGACCGCGGTAGCCACCGGGGCAACGCCGGCACATGGCAGAGCAGTAGCCGTGGTGGAAACACCTCCCAGCGCGGATACCAGAGCGGCGGTGCCAGTGACAGCGAAACCGGACGAGGACGTGGTGGATTCGGACGAGGCCGAGGCCGCGGTGACCGTGGCGGACGAGGTGGACGAGGCGGCCGCGGCGCATTCAGCAAGGGAGCGACAGCAGATTCTCCAGCCCCGACATCGACCCCTTCAGGCGACAAGCCGGCACCTTCGGGCGGTGATGCTTGAACGGTTTGATGTGATCAATGGATAGCCTGTTGTTGTTTTTTTTTGACTTGTGTTTGCTGCCTGCGTTTTGAATTCCCTTTACTGTTGATCTTATCTATTTTCCACTTTTTTTTCTGTGTCGAAACATTTTCTTTTCTCGGCCGCCTCATTTTCCACCTTGTGCATTCCTCTTCTTCTTTCTCTTGATAACACTCGCCGGATTTCCCACAACTCGTTCCAACTAATCACTTAATTTCTATTCTTGTGATACTTGCAAAACCAGTGTTTTTCTTCCCTTTCTTTTTCTTCCCTCTGTGTCCCCGATCTGAGCGAGATGTTATTCATTTCTTTGACCTAGTAGACCCTCGTCTTCGGATGGATTCCGCTAGGATGATTTATCTTTTCTACATTTCCAAGAGTTACTGGTGCAGTACAGGGTGGGAACAAAAAAAAGAAAGGAACCTCTGCATTATCAATTTATGTGAAGAAGGAAAAAAAGTGAGAAAAAAGTGACTTTGGTGTGTATTATTGGTGATGTACGAAGGGAGAGAAGACCAACAAATCGACCAAAAAAAAAAAAAGATCCAAAAAAAAGGGACGTGAGCGGACTGTTTTCTGTATTCTAACCCTGTTTTCTCCTGTCTTTTTGCTTCTTTTCTTTACCTGGATCGCACCAATATCGATACCCTTGTAAGCTTCATTATTGCTCCTTTCTTTCTTTTCTCCGAACGTAGTATCTCTTATTTGGGTGACAATGAATGATAATGTGACGCTGTTATTCAAATAAACGCAATAATTGGTATCTCAAGCGCCTGTTTGACGTAACTATAATTCACTTGAGGCTTGCAAGCCATTTCCCGAACTCCAATCCTCGTGAGAAACACAAGGTGTACATAGCCCTTATTATGTATGTACGAAAGACCAAGAGAGGGTTCCTCCCTGTCCATTGAAAACGCCAAAAAACCCACCCCGTTCATTAGATAAACCAAAACCAGACCAGATAAAACACCAACCGAACCACTCATAACCGAAGACATGAAAGAAACAAGAACCTAAGCAAAGGACCCAGTTCGGTTCATCCATTGATGATATCCCCAGTTCCAGACGAGCACCACCATCTAAGCAAGATCTTGAACGCGGGGACATTCTTCTCCCGGAAATCAAGCAGCTTGGATTGTCGAATCACAAGTTCGGTACCGTTATGATGAGCCAGGAGGATGCGAGCATGTCGGGGTCCCGTGAAGGAGATGAGTAGCACCTTGGAGGAGTTAGCCGGGAGCATTCGAAAAGAGGCTAAGAAAAGAACGACAGCACTCACCGGAATGACTTTATAAGAAAGATAGCTTTTCGCACGGAGACATTTGATCATAATTCGACAGATACTTAGGATCTCGCCCCGGGTGATCTGATCCTCGTCTCCGTTGACGCTTTCAAGCATCATACATCTGACCCAAGAGCCATCTGGGTTTTCGCGGATGCCGGCAGCGCGCCAGTCGATGGCGTTCTCAAGCTCGTACTCCCAAAGGGGACTGTGGGAAATCGTTAGTCGTTTTGTTTTTCTGGCATTGAAGTCGTGGAGCTTAATTTAGGGAAGTTGGATTCATACTGTCTTGGGGAATTGGACTTGCCCACCCAGCCTTGATCCATGGCATCGTCGAGATAATTGGTGAGAAACTGCCATATATCCGAAGCTTCGCTCATGGGCGTTGAAAGTGGGTGTTGCGGATTGTGAGACGGGTATCGATTTCCTCACTGGGGTCCTGGAGTAATTTTCGACAGGGCTGGAAGTATTCAGATTGGAACAAGGGATCCCCATCGCTCGACAGGGGCATCGGAAGGAATTAAATGGGGAGGTGATCAAGGTCTTTGTGCGCATATTGGGCCTCCCGAAGATTCGAAATGGTCTCCGCGATGGTCTGAACAGCGCGTCGGCGAGATTGATGCTCTTTGCTTTCCACCATGTTGGCAGGAGACGGAACAAATCTTTCCCCAGAGATCCACTAATAATTAAATTAGTGTGAGTGGATGGTGGATGGTGGATGGTGGGGGATCTCTTGGAAGTACGGGGTAAATATGAGGATGTTGAATAAATAATGGGGGGCTCCGGGGCAACGACGGGGGAGGTGCCTTCTTGCCTTTTGGTACCGCCCGCCATCCAACCCTCCCGCCTACCATCTTGCTCCATCCATCTATCCAGACCCAGAGAGAGGCGCACAGACAGCGTCTTCTCCTCTTCGTGATACATCCACCGGCGGCAAACTCTATCATGAATGCCTGGCGCACCTCCGGATTGGATGGATCCCTGCGGCGCAGGACCTGGCCTGTATTCACTGGTCTTGACGCGTCCAAACCGAGTGAATTCGATTCACAAGCCTGCCTTTATAATGCTCTATAATCATGTGGAATAGTAGGTCATTCAATATTCTTCGTAGGCTCATTTTGGATCTTCAATCCTATCCTTACACTCCTTCCGAGTTGATTTCTTCGACTGCAGAGAAGCACCACTACAGTCAGATATCTCATTCCGTACGGTACCAGATACAACAATCTAAAGACCCCCTCACAACCTTATAACTTCTCGTCTGCACAAAATGTCGGGGTCAGCGGCAAAGCTTCCCTCGGCTCCCCAAAATTGGAAAAACATGGTGGCAGCAGCTAGGATCTCAGATAAGCAGATACACGATGAACAGCTACCATCGGCTTCTAAGATGAAGCTGCGGCATTTTCTACTGCTACGAGTTCTATGGAAACCGGTCAAACTCAGCAGTTTCAGTCCTAAGCGGTTTGACTTAGACACATGGATGGGGCCCGCACGAGACATGCTCAACTCGTATCACTCCTGGCAGGTCTACCTCGAGAGCTTTCGGGGCACGAAACCGACCGGCGAGGGGAAATTCTTCCTAGCGAAGATCTCTCAGCTCGAAGCGGCGAAAGTAGAGAGCGATGAGATCTCAGACGATGTGATCATGTCACCAGTCTCGAACCGTACTCGTTAGAAGTGCCTCCAGAGGCGGCGCGAAGAGCAGAACAAGGCCCCGACGAAGTCTTCATCCATTCCCCTGGAAGGCCTCACACCCAATGATCTGACGCCCTCTACGCCGGAGGACCTCGAGGAAGATGATCCTTTTAAAAGCCGAACGCCCCTGACAGCGGAATCCCTTGGACCCCGGGAGATCAGGAATGAAATGTACCCCAAAATTGACGACGAGCAGGTGGTGAACGTTGCCACTCTCAATTTCTTGAAGGCCATCACGGCTCATTTCTCATGGCTTTCGAGCTCCTGGACCATTCACCGAAAACCCTTCCATGCTCGGTTCGAAAATACTCAATACGAAGCCAGGACTAACGGATATCTCCAAGGTAAGGAGTCGAAGGACGTGCGAGGCCTGATAGAGGTGAAGGCCCCTCTACGCATAGATAAGCAAACCGAAATCCGCATCCAGGAAAGCGCCCAAACGGTAGCATGGGTGAAGGAATTTCCGCATACGCCGCCAAATCGTCCATATCGGTGCGTTTTAAGTTTGACTTACTCCTTCTTGACTGACCGTTGACTCTGGATCATACTAACATGGAGAACCAGGCGTTTTCACGTGTCGCAGGATCGGCATGAAATCTGGCTCATCTTTGCTGAATATGATGACCAGAACCTCAAGAATCTTCAGGGTACCTCTAACTACTGCTACGGGTCCAATATCCTTCCTAACCATGTACGAGGTTGGTCCGTTCAGTACCCAAATCGAGAGACATATGGCCGAGCTTGGACCTATCTTGCTCGCGCTCACTTTGCGCGCTGATCACGATCGCAGAGAAGAACAGTGATCATCGTGGTTTTATCTTTACGGGGTAGTTGAGAACCAAGAACAAGACATTCTCTGAACGGCAGATGGTCGAGATTTTGAATATGTTGGAGATCAAGTATCTACGGTAGCTATCGCGTTAAACATTTAAACGTAGGCAACAAGCTATTAAGTCGATCGACCGAAGACTAGGCACCGATATCATAGGTCATATCTTTATCATTTGGCATTGATAGGACAGAACTAGAGATACCAAATTACATTTCAAGATTATGTTCTGCAAGAAATTCCATGCTGTGCCCTCAATATAAACAAACCAGATGAAAAAGAGAAGCAAACTCCTTCAAGCTCCAGGTCGGGCTCCGGCTCCAGTTCCATGAAAACGCAAACTGCGCCCAGTCCAAAGCGCCGCTACTTGAGGTCGCCGCCGGCGTGGGGTTATCAAGTAAAAAGTGACATAATCAACAGCATAAACATGCCCATGATCGAAGAGACTTTGATGTACATCCCTTCCGATTCGAAGGGGAATGAGGTTTGACCAGATGTGCCTCCCATTCAACTCAAGTTTAAACAGAAGAAAAAGAGAGCGGAAAAAGAGAACGGGAGCGAGGAGACTGAAAGTTGAAAGACGACAAAGAAGGTACGCCGGATATAATCAAAATGGTGATTTCCAGAAAGAACAAATAGATTTGATCATGTTTTCGAGATAATGGCTGTTGTTCCATTTTTCCGTTTTCATATTATGCTCGTCATGACATCAATTGCGGTATCGTATCGTGGAGTAGGGGGTATCTGAATTTAAAGACAAGGAGGACTATGATCAAGAGACATGTGCTAGTGAGCACGTCCCATGATATCGTCAACGTCCTTTTGATTGACGACGACGCCTCCCTCGGAGCATCGAGCTTTAGTACGAAGTTCAGAGCAGAGGTTGTCGACATCAATCTCGCCGTTGCGGAACCTTTCCATAGACTGCAAACGATCCCTGTGATAGCTAGGTCAGTACACTCTTCTTGAAATAGGACATGGGGAGGATAAAACGCACCATATCTTGGTGCACGACAGCATCTGAGACTTGTCCTCTCCGGGAACCATTTCTTCCTCGTCCAATTTCTGGTCAATAGAAGCGAGTAGGTCTTTCTTGGGCGGCGGCTGCTGCGTGTTTTGTGGCTGCTGGTTGGCCACCTCGTTGAAGTTATGAGAGGGGCTTCCCAAGTCGGGCAGAGGGAAGGCATCGTCAAAGAAGGTGCCAAAATCCTGAGAAAGGATCGCATCCTGGGGTTCCCGCCAGTCCCCAAAAAGCACGGGGTCAAACTGGCCTCCATTCTGTTGGGCCAGGAGATCAAGTCCAAGGCTGTTATCGTTATCTTGCTGCGCCTCGGCGGGGGCCGTCTGCCCGGGAGTATTCGATGCACTCTCGCTGTTGTGTCTCACGGCTGGGATTGGGTTTCTAATGTTGCCACAGGCCATACCAAGCTGAGCGCAGAAAGACTCTTCACCATTGATGGTACTGTAAGTGCAGTGGTGCCCATCATCGTGGGTCTTGTTTGCTGGCGAGTTTGTGGTGGGCTCGGGGGAAGTCCCACTAGAAGACAACAGCTGGCTCTGATGTGAGTCGGACGAGGACGATGGGGAGTCTGAATTCGATGCACCAAGTGAGGACCCCGACTGCTTGGTATTGTAAGCGGAAGAATACTTCGGAGCCTGGCCTCGAGATGAACCATTCGTGGAGGTGGGAGTCGTGCCGGCTGATTCCGAAGCAACGGTTGGAGAGTTGGCAGGCTTGGCAGAAGCTTGACCGTTTGCTGAACGGAGGGAGTCCCGGTTCAAAACGCCAGGGACATAAGAGTCATTCCGCTGCGACGTATGCTGATCATCCCTGGACTTGTTTTGGTTGTTGGACTTGGACATTTGTCCGTTGTTGAAAATGTGTGAGGCCGGCAGGTCTCCGAACTTAGGGAAATCGAACATGAAATCGTGATTTTGGATTCCAGATGATCCTTTGTTGGGATAGGCACTTGGAATGGCGTTGATTGCAGAAATTCCACTCCCAGTTGTCACCCACGAGAGACGCTTACGATACTCTTTTAGTTCAACTTGCAGACGCTCCACCTGAGCACGCAGCAGGCCATTTTCCTGGTTCGCATCGTCCGAAGCTTTTTGCAATTCATCCACCTTGGTCTCAAGGTCCTTCAAATGTTTCTCCTTGCGCTCACGGAACGCCCGCTGAGCTGCGCGATTCTGGGCCTTGCGTTTCTGTAACGTGCGTTAGTAACACGGAATTTTCGTGCTTTAAATGGGAGAGAAGAGAAGCATACAGAAGTGGGTTCGGAGGTCAGTGGCTTCCGCCCTGGCTTCTTAGCTGTTTTGTCGTCGCTTTCCCTTCGCTTCTTCCCAGAGTCTTCATTTTCGTTATCCGATCGTCCCTCTAGGTCCTTCCTCTTCTCTCCAACCTCAGGATCATCAGACGGAAAGCCGCCTGGGAGATCACCAATCAGGCTTTCAGAGCCTTGGAAATCAAAGTCGAGGTCAGGGTTGAAGTCAAGGAAAGGGCTCTCGTCATCAAATCCTAGGTTACCGGAGTTCTGAGAGCGGTCAAACCCGGGGGACGCGCTGTAGCTTGCGGACGACGTACGCCCCGGAGTGTTCTCAGGATCGTTCTTCGACTTGGGATTTTGGGGCGTGTTCTGCTGTTTCTGGGAATGGTTGTTGGATGAAAGAGCGGCAAGGAGAAGGTCCTGTTGACCGGGAGAGAGGTACAGGCCTTGCTGATAGAGAGAGTTGTAATCGGACATTTCGGCAAGATTGAGTGAAGAAAAGGAGGTTAAAGGTTTTAGAGAGAAAGAAAAGATCGTGAGGGAATGAAACTGAAAGTAGCGGGGTTGTTGGTCCCGGCTAAGCAAAAAGCCAACTTAGCTATTTTATCGATGAGATGAAAGGGCCGGGCTTCCCGCCCGTTTCTTGTATCGATGTAGATCACCGATGAAGCAGGAGTAAGAAGTCGTATTGAAGCGAGATAGAGTAAGGTAGTCCAAGGTTGGGTGAGGTGTTTTTGTTGGATGAAAGATCAAAAGTCGTCCAAGCCCAACTCAACACACGGTGTATTTCTTGGCGAAATCCTTCCGCGGGCAACGAGTGCAAGGAAAGAATAGTCAAGAAAATCAAACCGAGAGGGGAAAGGTTGTGTGCCCTGCCAATCGATATCGAAAACTCGTATTCCGATGTAGGCCTAGAGATGGCGAGTGAGGAAAACTCGAGGGTGGGGAGGCTCCAGCAAGAAAAAGAAACGAGCAAAATCAATTGCTTGAAAATGCCCAGAGGACCACAGTCAGGCCTTGTAAACTAATAGTTGACTAGATTAAAATCCAGGAGGCAAAGAGGGGACAGATGCCCGTTGGTCGAAGATGAAGAGCCGGTGTTGAAGAGGGGCTCGAGGGGGGTTCCGGATGGAGAGATATGGGGCAGATACTGCAGGGAGGCTTGAGAGCGCGGCAGCAGCAGCGGCCTATGGGGACAGACAGGGTCTTCAGGCCAATTGGGGAGGGGGGGGAAGGTGTAAGAGAGGTGGAAGGCGAGAGAACGGGGTGTATGAAGAAGGCAAAAGAAGAGATCGAGGATGGCAAGAAGGTGACTAGGGGAAGGAAATACAGGGTAGAAAGAAAGAAGGCAGGATGAAGACAGACGAATGAACCAACCACGAGGCAAATCCCGACGGGTCTTTCGATCGCGATGGAAGAGTTGCAGGAATGAAATGAACGAACTGGATGGGATTGAATGAGACGGGATGCATGCCTGAGGGGGCGAACGGCGGTGACTCTTACTTTCCGTGGGCGGTGGGCAGTTTGTCAAAGCGGCGAGGACTTTTAGGCCTCACCAGTGGCACCCACCCGTGTGGGACTGGCAGAACTGCCAATGGCCGAGGGCAACGGCGGACTGCCGCCTTAAGGGAAGAAACTGCACCCAAAGTGCTTAGAAATCAGGCCAGGCCGGCAATGGAACGTCGCGCCTCCGACGTTCTGCCACTTTCCACGCTCTAAGCCCGAATGGTGACGGTAGGCAGAAATTACAGAGTACGCGCTGTAGGTTGCCAGATGATGACTACCGGGGTCACTGTATTTACTAACTAGTTACTCATGCTAGGAACCCATGCGACCCAGGTAGTACTCCGTACTTTGCGACCGGCAGGTCCTCTGCATCTGACGTATTCCCCGCTCCGGCCATCGGACTCGGATGATTCGGATTTAATGGCCCCCTTATCATGTTAGATGAGAGAATTCTTTTTTATGAAAAAAAAGAAATAAAAATTAAATAAATCGTGGAGAAAACGTCTATCTACGCCGTTAGTCTCTAAGAACCACATTTAGCATTTGAAATATTATTTCAACCCCCAGAGAATGAAGCATTCATGTCGTGTTATCAATTATCATCCATGGATCCGGTAATTGATACGAGTTCTCCCCGGACAAGGAGCGGATATCTTAGGCTGCCGTATCCCAAGTTCCAAATCCCTACGCCCGACAGGGTTCTGGATCTCACTCCCCGCCAGAGCACCTTCCGATCCCTGACAATACCAAGTTTTGCACCAGAGGTGGCAAATGCTGACTACGTCGACTCGTCGAGCCAGCCGATAGCTGGTCAACCGATGTATCCAATGAGACCGTGTCCCGGGTGACGTGACGATCGACCTTCGTCCGGACTCGCATTTGCATAGCGTTAACCGTCCAGACTAGGCGCTGATCCCGCCCACCCGTTGGGCGGTCCCTCGATTGGGTGCGCTAGTCTTGGGGGTCCATGGAACCTGGAGAAACAAGAGAATGCGGAAATCGAGATATGAGGACACATGGTGAATCGTCACCATGCACAGCGCAGCCTTGTCGGTCCTTGAGTCGTACGGAGGAAATGTGTACTCCGTAGATAAATAAGAGAGAACAAAAGAAAGTCGGGAAGGACGGCGGACGATCATCTCGGGGAAGCGCGCATCACGTGATACAGTCTCGCCCGACGGCGGCCGGCACGTGCGCGCGCCATATCTTATCCCGACCGTCTCAACTCTTTTCTGGTGTTCCCCGATCTCTGCTCTTTCACTTGCTGAACCCTCCCCCACGCCCTTACCCCGATCTCGGCACTTGTCTCTGGTTCCGTTGCATTCCCTCTATTTTTTCGTCTTTCTTAATTCGTCCTGACCCTAGTCCGGTTCAATCATGGCGGACGTAGCAGCCTTGGAGGCCGAGGTCAAGGAATTCAAGCTTCAGGTTAGTTCTCTCGCCCGTCTCGTCCTCCATCCTACTCTAATAGTGCTTTGTTTCAGCTTGAAACCGTCCAATCGAGTTTGCAGGTAGACCCAGATAACACGGAACTACAAAGTCTCGAAGCTGAGCTCGAAGAACTTATAAACCTCACCGAAACGTCTATCTCCGAACTCAAACCGGCCGCTCCGCCGTCATCCAGACCGTCTCCCCCGGTCAAAGAGAAGGGCTTTCGAGAATCCCAGGCACCCCCGCAATCGGGGTATCGCAAACCAACGGCCGAGCAAGCGGACGAATCGTCAGCCCCCGCCTCGTTCTCCATTAACGAACATGTTCTCGCTCGATGGGTTTCGGGCGACAATTCCTTCTACCCTGCCCGGATCACCTCCATTACCGGCTCGTCTAGCAATCCCGTTTATCTAGTTTCCTTCAAATCATACAGCACAGTGGAATCTTTAACTTCCAAGGATATTCGACCCGTTTCCGGCAATGACTCGCGCAAGCGCAAGGCTGATGGAAACTCAGGCAATTCCGCATCCCAGTCGCCCACCCCTCAGCCTCCAAATTCGAGCGTGATCTCGGCGGCCGCGGACATCAACCCCGCCTTGGCCAACCAGGCGCGCAAGGAGCCGAGCAATGTTGGCGACGGGCCGGCGCGTCCTGCCAAGGTGCCTCGCAAGGTCAAGGCTACCCGGGAGTTAGAGGCAGGTAAAAACAAATGGAAGGATTTCGCCAGCAAGGGTAAACTGGGCCGGAAGGAAAGCATGTTCCGGACCGGTGACAGCGTCAATGCGCGAGGTATGGTTTCTCTTTCCCCTTTTGGTGTGAAAGCTATCCATTTTCGGAACTGCATACTGACTTGACTATTTTGCAGTCGGATTCACCGGGTCCGGCCAACAGATGCGCAAAGACCCTTCGAGAACCCGACATGTCTACCAGCAGGGTGAAGAGGAAGGATATTAAAAGCAAAGCGCCGGTGGTCATAACATGATTCTGGGGGTTTTAATGTGTGGTCTATGTGACAGACCGGTTGTCTCCTTATTCGTTCATATCTGTTTTCATGCGATCCTTTTCTCGGTCCTTCTTGCTAACGGGCTATCGATGACAGATAAGTCATCTTATGAATGTCGAGGCAGGAATGTTCGTCCATAGAGATGGTGGTGAACCCTGGTAACATTGAATCCCATGAGTCTACCGGCAGTCCCTTGATTATTGCGTTCCATTCTAATGCACCTTGATGACCCTAGGTATTCTGATGTATGATCGGAGCTGCTGGGCCATGTTGTCGCCTTCTCTGACCCGTGGAAGAGTGGCGCGTGGGCTCAAGCGAAATCGTAGATATCGTACACGGTTCGTGCCTGTAAGCATGTAGATGGTTTCTTCCCGGACAGCCAACATGATGTATGTCGTGGTTAGTGCTTGCGATCCGTAGCAAACGATTTTGTTACTAGATAGTGGCCCGCTAGGCAACTCTACTGGGCTCTGACAAATGGTTATGCTTGATCGTTGGTGGTCGAGTATTCCTGGTCGGCGTGCTGACCTCCGATTCTTCATGAGTGACCAACGCCAGTATACCTAGACTTTCAAGCCATGGCAGTACCTTCGGGACACTGCGGTCCGATATTATTTGACAAGGAAGCAAATGAACTGACGTCTTTGCGGAAATGAGGGGTAGGAAGGGCCTCCGCATTGATAAACCAAACCTTGCCTGCCTGCCAGTCTGTCTATCTGTCTGAAAACTGAAAGTCCATCCGCAATTTGCTCCCATCTTGATAGACCAATATCTCTCTAGACAAATCACGATGACCTTTCAAAAAGATAGCCTGCCTCCTACTCCCCAGATAAAAAAGCAGATGCCATGGATTCAGCTTGGCCAGCATGATCCAACCACCACGCTGACTCCCCCGCCAGCTCCATTCCCCGAACCCAGCACTCCCGGGGAGCGAGCGACGATGAGGTTCGCTGTCTGTGGAAACGCGGCGTGTATGTTGATTCCGTTTACATGTAGAGACATGCTCTCTTTTCTACAAGCCCGTGACCAACGCATAGCCAGTCACCGGCGGCGCCGGGGCTCTGGCCCTGGCATCTGCTCGCGCTCTTCTCGAACACGGTCTGTCCGGCATAGCGCTCCTTGACCTTCCGCTGGGGCTTGAGAAGAGTGCCGCCGAGATCGAGACTCTCCGACGAGACTTCCCCGCCGCGAAGGTTATTACGCAGACCTGTGATGTCACGGATGCTGGGGGCATGAACGACACCGCTCAGCAGGTCCGCGACCAACTGGGTGATATCAACATCCTTTGTTGCTTTGCAGGGATGGTTAACTGCGTCGACGCGGAGGATCTTGCCATCGAGCAATGGAGGCGCGTGATGGATGTAAATACAACGGGATCTTGGATCGCGGCGCAGGCATTCGGACGGTAAGTGCCAATTGTCTCACGAATACTCCTTTCAACGAACAGACTCATTGGCTCCCTCTAAAAACAGACATATGATTTCCAGCGGCCGCGGAGGGAAGATCGTCCTCGTGGCTTCGATCAGCGGACATCGAGTGAACTATCCTCAACCGCAGGTAGCGTATAATGTGTCCAAGGCAGCGGTGCTACATATGCGGAGCAGTCTTGCCGCAGAATGGACGCGGTATGGGATCCGGGTCAACTCCATCTCGCCGGGATACATGGATACGGTGCTTAACGAGGGCGACGACTTAGAGGCGTGGCGACAGAGTTGGGCGGAGCGGAATCCCATGCGCAGAATGGGGTCGACCCAGGAACTGACCGGACCGGTGGTCTTCTTATGCAGTGATATTGGAGGTAGCTACGTGAACGGGGCAGACATTGTGGTTGACGGTAGGTCTTCCTTTGGTTAGCATGTCGGGCTGTATTAATGATGTTTAGGGGGTGGACTGGTTTTTTGATATATAGGAGTACAATGTGAAGCATCGCCTGTCTCAGTCTGGGATTATACATTTTGTGGATTAAAGATGAGATCATGAATCGGATATCACGGCGAGAATCTATTCCCACTCTAGAGGATCGGATAGGATGCCGATGCAAGGAATTAGGGCAGGCATTCCATCTAGGCAGTACCTGCGGTGTAGACTGTTACCCCCAACCAGCACAGCCAATGCTAGATCAAGTAACCGGTTTCTTCTCTCTGTTATAGTTAGTAGTGCATACTTCTTCTTTTGGGCAAAAGACGAGGGTCCAGGATAGACCTGGGAAGTTCCTGACCTACAAGGCATGAGATTCCGATATCAGTACCGGTATTGGTATTACCACAACCCGGGTCTCAGGAACCGGTCAATTTACGGGCTACGATTGGTCCCCCACGCCGAAATTGGGGTTATCAGGGCCATTCGGCGTATCGACGAACCCCCCGGATTATGCATGGCGTACGGGCTGTAATGTCCTATTTATTAATCCTTTGCTGCGTCTCTCCTACTCTCTCCTCTTCTCCGATTTATCTTCGACCGCCACTTCCTCCTGCTCCCCTATCCTTATATCCTTATCCTACTTCCATCGTATTGATATAATCCTTTATATTTTCTCCTCTATTCACTTGTCAAGTCCTTCCATTCTGCCGCCATGGCTGCTGCACGCCACTCCCTTGCCCGATCTCTCCCCGCTCTCCGCGCTGCTTCTCCCCGCACGGTGCTGGCTTCACCTGCTCGGGCATCCTCAGCTCGCTCTCTTTCGACGATCTCCACATTATCGGCCTCTTCAGTGCTGGCTTCTCAGCTCTCTTCGTCCTCGTCCTCGTCCTCCCCTTTGGTTGCTACGCGCAGACTGCACGTTACGGCCCAGAAACTCGCCCCCGCAACAACAACCGCGGCTACTACCGCCACCGAATTTCCGACGGACCACAAGCCCATTGCCAACCCAATTGATACCACCAACTTCATCGACAACCAGTTCGTTTCGTCCAAGGCCACCACATGGATTGACTTGAACGATCCTGCCACCAACAATCTCGTCACCCGAGTCCCCCAAAGCACCGATGAGGAACTGCGGGCTGCCGTCGAGTCGGCCGAGAAGGCCTTCCCGGCCTGGCGGGCAACCAGTGTGATTGCCAGACAGCAGATCATGTTCAAGTTTGTCAGCTTGATCCGTGCTAACTGGGACCGATTGGCCTCCTCGATCACCCTGGAGCAGGGCAAGACCTTTGCCGATGCCAAGGGCGACGTTCTCCGCGGATTGCAGGTGGCCGAAACCGCCTGCGGCATCACCACTCAGCTCACGGGCGAAGTGCTCGAAGTCGCTAAGGATATGGAGACCAGAAGTTACCGAGAGCCTCTAGGAGTCGTTGCGGCTATCTGCCCCTTCAGTGAGTCCCCACCCCCGGAATCCCGTAAGTGATCCACTATGAACTTCTCCGATACTAACCGCTTCAACCCCCGCGCGCGCAGACTTCCCCGCTATGATTCCCCTTTGGTGCATCCCTGTTGCGACAGTGACTGGAAATTGTCTTGTCCTGAAGCCCTCGGAGCGGGACCCCGGTGCCGCTATGATCCTGGCCGAATTGGCCAGGGAGGCTGGCTTCCCTCCTGGTGTGATCAACCTGGTCCACGGCTCCGCCAAGACCGTCGATTTCATCCTGGACGAGCCTGCCATCAAGGCCATTAGCTTTGTCGGCAGTAACAAGGCGGGTGAGTACATCTACACCCGCGGCTCCGCCAATGGCAAGCGTGTGCAGGCGAACCTCGGCGCAAAGAACCACGCGGCCGTGCTTCCGGACTGCAACAAGAACCAGACCCTTAACGCCATTGTCGGCGCTGCATTCGGCGCCGCTGGTCAGCGATGCATGGCCCTGTCCACCGTCGTGATGGTCGATGAGACCAAGGACTGGCTTCCTGAGATGGCCGAACGCGCCAAGGCCCTGAACGTCAACGGCGGGTTCGAAGAGGGCGCCGATCTGGGCCCTGTCATCAGCCCCGAGAGCAAGAAGCGCATCGAAGACCTGATTGCCAGCGCCGAAGAAGAGGGCGCCACCATCCTCCTCGACGGACGTGGCTACAAGCCCAAGAACTACCCCAATGGCAACTTTGTATGTTTATCCCACCCTCCCTTCACCCGGGAGGAATCATTACAACCACGCAACAAAGATCACCATTGACTAACCGTCTGATCCAGGTCGGCCCCACCATCATCACCAACGTCACCCCCGACATGAAGTGCTACAAGGAAGAGATCTTCGGGCCCGTGCTGGTCTGCCTCAACGTCCCCACCCTGGAAGACGCCGTCGACCTGATCAACAAGAACGAGTACGGCAACGGCGCCGCCATCTTCACCCGCTCCGGTCCCACCGCCTCGCGCTTCCAGAAGGACATCGAGGCCGGCCAGGTGGGCATCAACGTCCCCATCCCCGTGCCTCTCCCCATGTTCTCCTTCACCGGCAACAAGAAGAGTATTGCCGGCGGCGGAGCCAACACCTTCTACGGCAAGCCGGGATTGCAGTTCTACACGCAGCAGAAGACGGTCACGAGTTTGTGGCGAGGCGAGGATGCCGTTAGCACCAAGGCTAACGTGGTGATGCCGACTCATTCATAAGTGTTGCTCAAATTAACATATATAAAACAGAACGCTGGGGAAATTCTTTTTCTATACTTGGCCTCCTTGTGCAAAGTGAGAATGGATCATGCTGCATGAAATCATTGGGCAAATTGGATTTGTCTTTTTATTTCAAGGGGAGGGATACGGTGCTACGATATGATACTCATCTATAGTTTTGATTCCTCATTTAATACATTGCTTTATTTTTAGCCATTTTTATCATATCTTCTTTTAAACTCGCATCTTTTTGTGATCATGTCTTCCCTATATGTTTAAACAACTAAGGATGAAACGATATGCTCTCTCAACGCTGAACAGTATTCAAAAAAAAAAAAAAAAAAAAGTAATGGTCCAGACCAAATCTTGCATATATTTCTTTTTGCTCGCACATGAAAGGAGGAACATGTCTATTTAGACTCCTTCTTGGCGTCCTTCTCCTTCTTCGAACCCTTAGTTGTCTCCTTAGGAGGAGGTTTAGGGATGGGGTTCGGGTTGCCCTTCCACTCCAGCTTCCTGGGGCGCATGAACTCGTTCAAGACCTCGTCCGTGGATAGCTTGCGCTTCTCCTGGAACTCCAGCACGTTCTTCTGCAGGGTTTCGATAGCCATCTTCTTCAGTTCACCGGTGAGCAGCTCGCCGCTCTTGTAGGACTTGTAGATCTCCTCGAGCTTAGCGTCGTCTTCTTCGAAGTAGGTCAGGTAGACGTAGGAGACGTCGACGTCGGGGTTTCCGCCGAGACGGCGGTGGTCTTCGACGCTGACTTGACCGCCGCTGAAGGCGTATTTGTTGATCTTGGTCTAGAGGTTCATACCTAGGTCAGTACCTTGATCTTCACAATTGCACTACCGCCGAGAAAGAAGGGAAGGGGGGGGGGGGGGGGGGGGGGGGGTGGTCGGGGGGGGGGGGGGGGGGGGGGGGGGGGGGGGGGGGGGGGGGGGGGGGGGGGGGGGGGGGGGGG